TTCTACTAAACCTACCAGAATAAAGTTTCACAGTTGAATATTTAAATAATTATTCAATCAAAATTTCGTTATTATAATCTCGTTATCATTTATATGCAATTTTATAACTTAACTTTCAATTTGCTTGCTTTTTACTGGCAAAATAACATTCTAGTATTGGGTCAACATAGTGGTGTAGCAGTAGGAACCATATCTGGCGAAACCCCAATGCCTACATACAGCAGAAAAGCAGCCGCCAGGTGTCGCCACAGTCGTCCCACAGATGTCGCGCGCGTCGCCAATCGCTACACTACCGATTTCCATAAGGACGCTTATGTGCGGATATGTAACGGAAAGTCGCCCTTAAAGGGACCCTCCCACCATAAGTTTCCATTAGTTCCCATTAGTTTTGAGTTGAGATAGCCAAATTGGTGGCCTTGGCCTGAAAATACCGGTTTGGGCATTCACAACATCGAAAAATGCTTTAATTCGGAGATATGGAATTTCAAACTTGCAGTTTTCGGATTCTAAGGGGCTAATGCATTGGTATGCCCCCTTAGAATTTGTGACGTCAGCGGAGGTCTAACGATTTTTAAATCTTTTACTAAAACGTTTGGCAGCACGCGGTGGTATATGCTGCTTTGCGCGCAACAAATGCCGCACTTTCAAATAAAGTCGCTAGGAACAGCGGAGATCCCAAAAAGTAAACAAAAGTAAAAGTCTAATATCTTGAAAACCGGTGAATATTTTTCGATGAAATTTGGTAGATATTCATTTTTGCTCTTTCTGAACCGAGCGACATCACTTTCATGCCAATTCATTAACTTTTTTGAAGGTGGGAGGGTCCCTTTAAGGATTGCGCTTACATCCTTTGCTTATAAGGTCGATGGTCGGAAATTGGGAGGGGCTCAGCTATTTTCGACCACGGATAAGGCTTAATCACATGATGAGGAACATGCTGATAAGCGTTTTATGTGTCATAACAGCACAAAAGTATTTTTAATCATTTTTCAAAAATAGCCGTTCCGCCGTATCTTTCAGTGCAAGGTGCCGTCGGTCATCCCCGACGTTACGTCACACCGGGGATTGCCAGATTTTCCTACTAAACTTCGACGCCCCCTGCTCAAAATATGCATCGGTGCACTCTTCAATGCATTTTGTGCTCAATTTACCGAAAGCTCGCCACCATCTTAAGTCGTTTCCATCTCGCTCCGTCTGAACCTGCCAGAGCAGAGGTGAAGATGGCCCGTTCAGCTGAACATGGACAGTGGATGGGTGGACAACACACCACAGCACACTGTGACATGACCCAGCTGTCACAGACTACCCATCAAACACACCGCCAAAGACACAGACCCAGCCGCCCGGCACGCAGACCAGCCAGACCAGACCAGGCCAGCCATACGGTGCGGCCCATGGCTGGACGGGAGGTGCAAGTGAATCTGAGGCCTCCGCACGATTGTGGACACCAATGAACAAACGGCAGAGACAGGACATGCGTCGGTAACGTGAAACGTTCGATTGATGTTGGCCCGGTGATCAGAACGAGATCGTGTGTCGCACGCTATAAGAATGAAGAGGCGAGTGTGTTGGCGACGCTGGACGCCTACATTTGTAAGGGAATGGTAACATAAGCAAGTGTCGGATATTTGATGAATTCAAAATTTGCGATTAATTTTTGTCGTAGGTAGGTATGCCTGCCTTCAGAACATAGTGATGTTCGTAGAACATTTAGCTAAGCACACAACACAAGAAGAGTTAAATAAATAAATATTAGTGGTTAATGCGCTATAAATGCACTCGGTAACACATAAGCAGAAGGGGTTTGCGTGTATGTCAGTTGCTAGTGCTGCGATAGCTGGCGGCTCTGTTATCTATAATAATTTCAGCAAAGTACAATCACTTCTGTGCTATTCTGCTAAAGGAATATATCTTCCAGACAAAATACAAGATGCCTAAACATCCCAATAAACAGACAAACGCCTTACACAATACACTATTTCATGCCAAAGCACACAGCTCCCATCCCTCCCACCACCCATGACCCAGCCTCCCCGGCCCGTCCGCAGCTCTCCACCACCGCCGTGCAGCGCCGCCGGCCGCCATATTGGTTTCTGCGGTGAGACCACATCCTGTCTGCCTGACCGAAGAGCCGGCCGCCGCACTATGGTTGGAAACGGCCTCACGGATGGCCGGGGGTCAACGCGAAAAAATGTTTTGCCCATAACTTGTTAATGCGTAGACCGACTGCGATGAAACTTTGCATAGGTATACCAGTGTCTTTCGTGCATCATACAGTAACTCAGAAATGACGAGGTCACGTCACGTCACGCGTGTGTGACGTCATCATTGCAAGTATGTTATAAGTCGCCTATGTCTTTCGTTATGTTATCGATATCGCGAGGCATTTTGAACATGTTTTGAATACTGCTATTACTGAATGGATATTGTTGTTATGCTTTAGGGCGAGAAATATCAACGTAGTGACGCACAGTGTCTTACTATTGGTCATAAAGGGTAAAAAATTTGGAGAAAGAGTATTTATGATTTTTTTTAGATTGGGCAAAAAAGCAAGAAATAAAATAACGATCAAATGACAAAACATGCGTCAGATTAATCCGGCAGTTGCTGGGGTATTTCCCCATCCGCCGTTTGCCGGGGGGGGGGGCGTTCAACGCCCCCAGCCGATAACTCGCGAACAAATAGGCGCAGCGAAACGCACGAGGCGCGGCAAACGAAAGAAGAACGCGACGAGACGATTCACATGAGTACTTTAAAGTTGAATTTCGAGGTCACAGGTCGGGTCAAGGTCAGGTCAAACACTTGAAATCGGGCTTTCAGTAGCATGGACTTTAGAACCTCGCAATCGGTGCCTCGCGTTTCGCGTTTCGATTATATCGTCATCAGTTGGTCCTAAATAAATTCAGTCATCAGTTGGTCCTAAACAATCTGTCACAACTGTCACAACTGTCACAACCCTTCATATAAGTGCTAAAAGAGTGTCAGATCAATGTAGGGGTCAGTCAAACATAGGCCACTGGCCAGTTTCAAAGTCAGGTCAATCAGGTAAGCATATAACCCCGAAAATTAAAACTGGTACCTATTCGCAGCCCATGCATGACACATGTTTTATGGGTACTTTTGGGCGTAGAACACGATGGTGACATTCATTTTATCATACGAGTACGTGGCTGGTTGAAAAAAGATCAATTTCAGAAATGCATGCATCATGGTCGTGAAGTATAGTCACGAGAAATTGCCAACATTCAGCTCAAGATTTTGGAAAATGTAGAACGATGATCAAAAACCATAGATAGCCATTTGATTTGCCATGGTATTGGCAGTGTAATGGCGTTTACAGCATGTCTGTATGTCTGCTCTGTCGGTGGATATTCATATCCATACTCCAGGATATCCATATACGTTTGCACGATATCCATACTCCAGGTGCAGGGGCGAGCAGTTACTTCTTACGAGGGGTGCGGAGTCGAAGTCAGAGTCGGAGTCAGAGTCGGAGTCGGAGTCGGAGTCGCCCAGAGTCGTGGCAACGAGCCAGGAGTCGGAGTCGGAGTCGGTGTCGGTCAGGAGCCCGCAGTGGAAGTCTGAGTCGGTCCGAATCGGAACAGCTCCCTCACGACTCCGAAACACTGGCAGGGGTCCGGAGTCGGAGACAGAGTCGGCCGGAGTCATGGCAACGAGTCAGGAGTCGGAGTCGTAGTCGGAGTCGTATTTGGCGCCACCACGACTCCGCAACCCTGCTTCTTACCATCATTTATAAGGATAAACGATTGCAAGACTGACGAGCCGACCTGGTGCTAACGAAGCGACGGGTAGGTACGCCTCGGGAGATGAAGCTTCACGGACGATTTTGCGCACAAGTGCGCAGTCTGCTTTTACGTTCCCCTTACACAGAATTGAACAGAGATTTATTCTGCCAAAAAGCTCAATGGAGGTCGATGGAGAACTTTTTGTATGTCCAATGAAACATAACCGTAATTTTGCAAATATTGCTGTGGTGACACTGCAAACAGAATGCAATGCCGTTCCTGATTTTGAACACGCATGGGAAAAAGAGTCACTCCACTCGATAGCCAACATAACAAGGATTATTTTGATATATAATAATCCAGTTTTACAACGTCATGGAGGTACTCCACATGCTATCACCAGCGCGGTTGTTTAAACCTTTGACGGCTCACCAAAAAAGCCACTATCAGAAACTCCCGATTCCACGTACAATAATGGAGACTAAATGCGCAACTAAATAATTTTTTCTGCCCAATTCAAAACATTTCATCAATTTCCAACAGAATGACACCCCAAATATACATATATTCCGAAATTGCCCACGGCCATCCGTGAGGCCGTTTCCAACCATAGTGCGCCGCTCCGGTCTGGGCTGCTGGGAGCCGGCCGCCGCTCCTGGCCGTATCGACCGGCCGCGCCCGAATCAACCTCTCCAGCTCACTTGTTGATCGGCGGAGCGGCGGTCCGGCGGCGTGGCCGGCGCCTTGTCCCCGCCCCCAGCCGTCTGCGGTCGCTCTGCGGTTAGCCAATGATACCGCTCGCCACCCTCCATCATTTACGATCTCCTCTCATTGCTTAACCGCAAAGTTCAAGTGCGTCTGCCCACACCTCCGCGGCGGTAGGCCCCGCCCCCCGGCCGCCGCGGCCGGCCGCCATTGGTCGCTGGGCGCGGTCTGGCTGTGGGCTCGGGACACCCCGCGCCGGCCGCCGGCCGCCGCCGCAAACCCAGCCGACCCGAGCCCTAATTGAAAATTGATCGACCCTGGACGGCGCTGACCTGTGGAGGTGGTGTCAGGTGAGGTCAGGTCAGGTGGGCAGGTCGGCTCTGAGGTCGTCATCACGCGTCCTTCACGGCCCCGCAGCGCTCAGCGTCGGTGTCGGTGGCGGCGGCGGCGGCGGTGGCGGCTGCGGACGGCTGCGGGCGGCGGCGGCGGCGGCTAATGCGGCCGTGCGGCGGGCGGGCGGCGGCGGCGGCGGCGGTGGCGGCGGCGGCCAGTGTTGCGGTGAGCGCCGGACCGCCAGCACGCGTCCCGCAGCGCCCGCCGGCCGCCGCCGCCCGGGATGCACCTGACGGCTGAGAGGACCACGCGGGTCGGCATGCAGCCGGAACGACTCGAGAAGATGAGCGACTTCCTGTTGGAGCGCAGCCTCAGCGAGGTGGTGGCCGAGCACCCTGGCGAGCTGGTGCGCACCGGGGCGCCGGACCTGCTCTGCACCGCGCTGCCGCCGCACTGGCGCTCCAACAAGACGCTGCCGGTGGCGTTCAAGGTGGTGGCGCTGGGCCACGTCGAGGACGGCACCGTCGTCACCGTCACGGCCGGCAACGACGACAACTGCTGCGCCGAGCTGCGCAACAACGCCTCCATCATGAAGAACCGCGTGGCTAAGTTCAACGATCTGCGCTTCGTCGGCAGGAGTGGCAGAGGTGAGTGGGGCTTTGGGGAAGACAGTCGGATGGGGTGATTCAGGGCTTCTAATGACCGAAGATTGGAAGTGTATGATGTGTGGGGAGAAGTTCAACAGTGCTGAGATGAACGTCACAAAGACTTCAGGGATTGATTTGTGAATGATGAGTCGCGATTTATTTGAAGAGGAATAATGCAGAATGACACAAGCCTAATTTGTTCGGGAAAATATTTGTTGAACGATTTGGCTTTTCGTTGATTAATATTCGTATGACAAGAAATCGATTAAAGAAAAATAACAGTTACCCTATCATATTGCGATACGGGGTCATCGCACAAAATACATCCAGTGTCTTGACAAGCTATTCAAAATGAAGCTGACATTTTTAGTGCTAAATTTCAGCTCAAAATGAAGAATATTGCTAATGAAAGAGACATCTTCCAGAAGGTCACGTAACTATATTTATTTTGAGGACACAAACACTAAGGCTTGAATTATCCATATTCTGTAAACTTTCAATAATTAATGCTTGAATTTCAAAACAAATAAATTAAAAAGTGCTACGTGGAAATAATAACTTAATAGCAGCTCAAAGTCTTTGAAACCATTTTTAAGACTTCTCAATTCTGGGAAATATATATGTATTGGTAAACATTTATTGAGAAAACTCTGGCCTAAGATTGGGCTACGTCAATATGTTTCCTTATTTCACTGCACGAAGTATGACCGCATTTTAAGACTGCAGCCCCATTTTTGTTTGTTAACCCGCGCCCCACTGGGGGGGGGCTATTTATAGCCCCCCCTCCCGTTTTTCTGCAATAACTTCCAAACCGCTTGACGGATCGACGCCAAACTTTCAGCACCTTCGGCTGCATCAATTTGACATCTTGTGTCAAAATTTGAACTTCGTAGCTACCATAGGTCGGCCGGAAATGACGTCAGAGTGACGTCATGTTCGTCCGATTTTGACGCAAAACATTGAACCACGGCAATCGCTCCCAAGAGCTCAGTTTTTAAGCTAGATCCAATTTCTTTGCATGAATGGACTCAGAATTGACCGCGCTATCAAACTGCTATCTCGGATTTTCAAAATTTTGAAATTTTCGAAAATTTTATACAATAATATTCAAAATTTATATTTTTATATTTTTTTTTCAAAAAGCTTTTGACTTTTCGAAAAAACCGGAATATATGTGACAGAACGCATGATTATGACTAACTCTAGCAAGTTTTAGCTAAATATCTTCAAAAATGGCCAAGTTATACGCATTATTGCAAAAAATTCACAATTATTAATTTTTCAAATCAATTTTTCAGTACGTATTTGACATCGTACACCAATATAAATGGCACCATCGTGTTCCTGAGCTCAAACTGCATCCCATAGACACCTTTTTTGTTGAAAAATTTTAACTTCAAAATTTGACCTTTTTTGACCTGAAAGTGACCTGACCTAAGCTAAATTCGACTCAAAATGACCTCGAATGACACAGACGACATCAAATTCGAAATCTATGGCCTAAATGGACCATAAAACATGTGTCACGTGACCGACGCATGACATAATATTTCCGTGACCTGTGATGACCTGACCCTGACCTGAAAATCAAAGTACAAGTTTGGTACCGTCAAGGTATCTAGAGCATCTGTTCACGAGTGTGGAAACCAAAAATGAGCCTGATCTGACTTGTAAGACGGCGGCCAGAGCCCAAAATGTGAACAAGCCAAAATGCTAATAATTTTTACTTTGACCTGACCTGTGACGTCATCGGTGACCTCGAGGTCAATGAAATTAGGTTTCGCTCGACAGTTTTTCCGGGGCTATCAGACGCCGTTTGAATTTTGACGATCGGCCCAGTAGTTTCGGAGTTAGGAGGGGGGGCTATGAATAGCCCCCCCCCCCCAGTAGGGCGTGTTATACACAGACCCCAGTGGGGCGCGGGTTAAGTCTGATTAAGTAATTAAGTCTGAGTCCCTGTAAAAAAGCACAGAATCCTAAAAAACCAATAATGTACTTGTGGAAAGCAAAAAGTAGAGCACCGTTTGGCACCAGTGGCTTTGTTCTGCGGATTATCCGTTATATAAGGCAGTGTCATGTTTTTGCCACGTTCGCTGTAGGTATGGCCGTCTCGTTTTTGTTTGCTGTCACCACCGCACCCTCAAAGGGCGCAGCTGGTTTCTGGCGAGTTTATCTCCCTATCATTTTGTCTCGGTCGCCGGCCCCGGCCCGTCTCCGACCACTAAACCGGGCCCACATCGTACGAGTGTTCTCTGAGGCGAGCCGCTTCATTTCACATATGATATATCCCAGACCAACTCTTGACGGCGGGTCGTTCTTCACCGACCGATCACGTGATGTTTGGTGACCGGGCGGCGGCGGGCGTTGCGGGCCGGCAGGGCGTCTCATGTCGCGATTATGAGCGCTCAGCCGCCGGGGGTGTCAATAGGCCGGCCGCCGACTGCGCCGCGGCCCACTCGCTGGGGGTCGGCCGGCCGATGGGCCGCAGATGGCTCCGACAGCTCTGGCCATTTCAGAGGGCGGCCAGCGGCCAATGACGCGGCCGCCGCGGTGGTCTGTTTATGATCGGGCTCGGCTGTCGACCGCCCACCGCCCGAGCACGGGCGAGATGGGGTGATCTTTGTCTTCCTCTGACGGGGGAGGGGCGATATTCGCCTCCCATGGATGGATGATCTTGGAGTAACACACGCCTCTCAATCGTGCCGAAAGGGAGGTGGAAGATGGTCGGTGATGTCGTCTATTATGCATTGATGTTGGCACTGTGAAGTGTGAAGTGAGGAAGAGAACGGCAGATAATTTACATCATAGTCAACATCAGTGGATAATTGGGTAGGAGCAGACAACTAAAAATGATGCCATCGTTGTTGAAATCGCTAAGGACACCGAATATCACATCTTATTGAAGGAAGTGTAGGACCCTTCTGCTAGTAGTGACGGATTGCGTACCTAATACTTAGCCTTCACCTGTTCTTGTTGACATTCGAGCTTAGTATTATGGATTTACTACCTCGGTTTCACGTTTCAAGCGGCTCACACAGATCACCTGTGAGGTCAGCGTGACAGCGTGAGGACGAAACGGTGGCGTACCGTTATTCGGAGAATGGCAAACGGCCGGCCTTCACCCGAATGCCAGGGTTATACAGTTACGCGTGCATATGCAGAGTGATTTATGAGAGAATTTTGGTCCTCTGCGGCTGCAGCGAGCGTAGATTTGTGGGCCTCTTTGGTTAGCACAAGGTTCTGTATTTGCGCGTCTCTGTTTGCTTGGCGCGTGAGATATAATTGCATATTAATTCTGTACTTGTCATAGCGCTGAAAAGCTAGCTGTCTTGTTTTCTAAGACAAACTTCATTTCCTATTTTCGTTTGTGAAATGTCAGCGGTAATGAAATATTTAACGTAAGGCATGTCCAATGTTCCATCAGCATCACACAAGACCCGCATCCAGCTCATCTTATGTCATTTGCCAGTTCCAATCATTTACATGAATTCAATGCATTGAGACTAACTATGTATGTAGGTACGTACCTATACCCTCACAGCATTGTAACTAGACCGCTTGGACTCGGGCTGTATTTATTCACTATTCAGTGCATGACGATAACGAATGTCAATAAAATGCAAATGATATGTGAAGTCTAGGAAATTTATGGGTACTTACAGGACTTGTTTTTCTCGGCTCACATAAAAACCACGGCTGATGAAAGGTCGAATGATCTGGTGCCTCTCACCCCCCCCCCCCCTGTCGCTGTCACTGGTCCGTGGCTGCAGTTAGCCCCTCTCGTTGACCCTTCTTATCCCCCTTATCGCTCGTCCCTGAGTGCTGGTGGCTTGTCTTTTAGCGCCTCCTTTCGTCCCCTTCATCCCCTCTTCATCCCCCATGGTCTCGAGTGGCCTATCCCCTCTCCTCGTCTCCTCTCGTTCCCGCTCGTCACTTCCCGTCCCCTAGTGTATTATTATTGTTGCTGGCTTGTCCCCTCTCCACCCCTTGTCCCACATTGTCCCGTCTCTCTCCTTCCTCGTCCTCTGTGGCGTTGGTCCGTCCCTTCTATCCCTCTCTTCTCTCTAATTCATCTCGTCTTTTCTTGACATCTGCGATGGTGATCTGTCACCTCTAGGCTCCTCTCATTCCCTCGTACTTTCTCGTGCTTGTTCCTTTCGTCCCCCCGGTGTAGGTGGCAGTGGCTATCCTTTCGTAATCTCTCGTTTCCTCTTGTTTCCTCTCTATCCGTCTCGTCCCTCTCGTCCCCTGTCGTCTCATGTTGTCCTCTCTCGTCCTTTCTCCTCCTCTTTCGTCCTTTCTTGTCCGCTTGTCCTCTCTCGTGCCTTGGGGGGGGGGGGAGGGGGTGGTGACTGGTGACTGTCCAGTGTCCGCGTCTTGTACCTTTCGGTGTCGGTGGCGGCGGTGGTAGTCGGTCGTTGACGGTGGTGGTGGTTTGTCCCTCTCGTCTCCAGTGTTTGTGACTGTCCTATCTCGTCCCTCTCGTCCTCGATGTCAGTCGCGGCGGTTTCGGTCGGTCGGTGACGGCGGCGGTGGTCGGTCCAGTGTCCCTTTCGTCTTCTCTGGTCCTCTGTCGTCCCCTCTCGTCCTTTCTAGTCCCTCTCGTCCCCCAGTGTCGATGTCGACAGTGTCGGTTGGCCGGTGTGACGCCGGCGGTGCATGGCTCCATAAACCAGCCACGTATCGATCAGCCGGTGGGCCTGTCTGCACCCAACGACCCGCAGACATGAGAGCCGCTGCCCGCCGCTGTCTGCGTGAAACGGACAGCAGACATGAGTGCCCGCTGTCCGCCGCTGTCGCGCGAAAAGGGAAGCGGACAGGACAGTCTGTCCGACCCTGTCTGCGTGAAACGGACTCAGACAGGACGGTCTGTCCGCCGCTGCCTGCGTGAGAAGAGCCGCAGACATGAGAACCGCTGTTCGCCGCTGTCCGCCGCTGTCTGCGCGAAAAGGGAAGCAGACAGGACAATCTGTCCGACCCTGTCTGCGTGAAACGGACCCAGACAGGACAGTCTGTCCGCCGCTGTCTGCGCGAAAAGGAAAAAAGACATCATGAAGGGCAGCCGGAAATCTCAACAGTCATTTGCCATTAGGTCTCCGATTGACTGAAATCATTTCACCTCTATGCTGTGGCCTTTATGTTTACAGGTTCAATGGATAATGGGTTCTCATTTGCTTTGTGCTTCACTTTCCTGGGAAATTATTGTAAAATGCCCAAAGGCATTGTCGGAATCAGTCATCTATCACTTAAAAAACTGCACCACCACGCTATAAAATCCACGCCACGGCTGCTCCCCGCAGGGGTCCGTGCGGTCAAATACCACGCGGCACGTGCCGCTGTGGCCGTCCCCTCCCCGGGCCAGACCCACAGATGACCAGTCGCCGGGCGGCGGTGCCGGATTCCTGCAGCAGCCGTCCAACACGGGCCGGCCATCGTCTGATGACAGTCGGACATGCGAGCGGCGAAATTATTTTAATCTGTAATCGCCACCGCCACCACAATTACCATACGCCAACCGTAATTATAGCCGGCATGCAATCGATGTGCCGAGGAGTTATTCATCCACGAATAACGATAAATCACACTCTCTGCCGGCAAAGAGCGGCTCAAATTGTCGGTCGGACCGCGGACCTGTCAGAAACACTCCATCATAGAGGTGTGACCGCAGAGACATGGACTAAAGTCACGGATTGGACACGGGGTCAGCCTGGGCGTCACATTAGTGGTGTTTACTTGCAGTGTGGAGCATTATCTGTGTCACAGACATAAATCGAAATACTGACAGGAGGGGGTTTGGAACGACGAAATCCCTACCAAAGCCAGTTGCTGATCGTTGGTGTATCTTCTCACTGTGTTTTGTGTGGAAGAACAGATGTGTTCTAACCCAGTGTGGCCGAGTTCTAACCCCACCCGTCTGTTTGTCCGTCTGCCCACAGGGAAGAGTTTGTCGGTGACAATCATCGTGTCATCACGGCCGTGTCAGATCACCACCTACAACAAGGCCATCAAAGTTACCGTCGACGGACCGCGGGAGCCACGCAGTAAGACAAGTCAGTACCGGCTGGCGCCGGCTGAGACAGAGCCAGACAGACAGACACACAGACACAGACACAGACACGGACACAGACAGACAGGCAGGCACACAGACAGACAGACAGACAGACAGACAGACAGACAGACAGACAGACAGACAGACAGACAGACTGAGACAGACAGACAGACAGACAGACAGACAGACAGACACGGACATGGACATGGACACGACATGGTCACGCACATGGACCCAGACACCGGCGGCCGCGCAAACCTATATAGCTTTATGCGGATATTCAGCTTTATTACACCTTTTTGCACTCAAAATAGGCATCTTTTCATTCAATTTCGGCGAATTGCATTCAATTTTAGCGATCTCTCATTTGCTTCGAATAGAGAGATCGCTAAAATTGAATGCAATTCGCCGAAATTGAATGAAAAGATGCCTATTTTGAGTGCAAAAAGGTGTAGTTAATAGATATTATAAAATTTTCGTAGTTATCAGCAGAGCAATATCTTCATACATGTGATATCTGATACTGAGATTCATGGTGTATGTTTCAATCCTTTTGTTGCTGAGAATCTAAACATCACCAAACAATTAACACCAAACGGTTGATTAACTGAGCTGTTAGCTTGGCTCATTTTGTATGCTTCGAATCGGAATGCCTGAAGTGCTCAATGGTTTTCGGAACATCATTGCCTTGCTTTTTACCATTTGGAATATGTTTGTCCTCCATTAGTGGCCATATTTCACGACCGGCTTTCCGTACTGAGTAACTGAATCGGCCCCGGAGACGACCCTTTGACCAGTGGTCTTGCATGCGGTTTGGGTCATCAAGTCGGAACATTAGACTCGACTGCAAGTGTACCAAACTGCTCATTTACCGGCTGCAGTCATCAGTTAAAACGCGGTCTCCTGCCCTTCGGTGCTTTACGTCAGTCTTGCCCCGAAACCAAGCTAATTAAATTTATATTGCACCTCTCAAATAAACCTGTCAATGGACACAAATGTGAGTTTACGGTCTGGAAATATTGCCGTAATTTCGCGTCGGGTTTGTAATTGCCACGTTTCCGTCGACTGGCTGGGGACAATTAGGTGTTACTGTTCGTTAGGGGCACGCCACACGAAACGGCGACGTGTGCAGCGAAACGAGAGTGCTCTGTGCGGTCACCTTACACGCACACTGCTGACAGGACTAACTAGGCTACCTACGGGACCGGCGTGGCGTAATGTTGGGGCAGGGCGCGGTGTCGCAAGAAACATATGCTTCTTGAGTAGGCGCTTTGTGGAACGTACTTCTTGTACAAAGTAGTTCTTTGAAGTCAAATGATAGTAAACAGGAGCTTAACTAAAAAAGCAAGATGATAATGTGGGATTAACTTTAAATGTTACCGTGGTCGCAAGAAGCCCACCCAGAGATCCAATGCTGGCCTAATAAAAAAATCATGTCTAATCGATCTGGTACAGAGCTTTATTTAGCCGTTTTAGTGTTTGCTTTATTTCAATAAATGTTTGCGAATAATAGAAAGGCCCGCTGATCGACCAATCACCGTATCCTCTTACGTGTGTTGTGTGCGTTTCCAGGGCAGTTTCCGTTTCCGTTTCCGTTCGGACACCGTCCGTTCTTCGCCCCGCACCTGGCGGGACTGGAACAACTACGGAGAGAACAGATAGCTGCCGGTCTTCTGAAGCTGCCACAGCCCCACTGCCAAAGTGAGTAACCAGGGAAACATAAAGCTCTTGTGAGCGCATATACATGGGGAGGGGGCTGGATAATAGCCACCTCTTTGCGAATTACTCTTGGGTCTCCTACAACTCACAGATGTCTGTCTTTGGTGGCTCGTGGGTCACTATATCATCACAAAATGTGGATATTGTTGTGTGAGGGTGTGAATTAAATATTTCATGCCGACCGCTAACAACAAAATGGTAAATGGGTGCCCAGAATGGTGTGATGAATAGTCGTTATTGCGTTCATTTTCAAGTACTGGCATTGTGAAAATTGGATATTAACATAAAATTGAGATGAATGGCCGTCGGCCGACCGGTGAACAAAAGGCATGTAACAAGGGGGCGGGGGCGTGACGCGCGCGGTGCCCGGCCAACTGCCCTCAAACCGAGGTGCAACCGTGTCAGAGTATAGCGCTGAGTCACTGTGCACAGTCCACTGACTCACACTGCCCACCTCACAGCCGGTCTTCAGTCCGGCACCACTCGCGCGCTAATTGACCGCCAAAGTTGGCGTGGCCCGGGGTTATGGCGCGGTAATATTTGCGCGCGACTTGGTATCATGAGCGGTCCGTGCACCGACGGTCACCATGACTTCTTAATGAAGCGCGCCCGGGGCCGTTAGTCGGCTGTTAACTCGCCGCTACCGCCATCATGTTCCGGGGCCACTTTTATCGACGGCGCCGCGCGGTGCTTCGGGCCCGTCGGCGCGCCCCTAAGTCCTCCAAATGTGGAAATTCTCAACCCGAGAGGCTTTCTGATCCACTAATTTTCCGGCGACCTAATTTAGAAGAAAATGACCGCTGCGTGGCTGACACGTTTGCATACTAGAGTTTTTCGCCATCAGTTGTAATTGGTCCGTCGGTGACCGTAGCTACCCTGAGTTCAGCGAGTGCGCTGGTAAATTTTTAATCACACCTTTCTGGCATTATTGACAACGCCGGCTAGGCCAACGAAATTGAACTGAAGACGCCCAAGGTGTCGACTGTTGCCGTCCATCCATATATGCTTGCTGTCCACTGCGCCGGTCCATCCCTCCCGAGTATCGATCTCATATCTCGCTATTTTTTAATTATCCCGACGTTTGGGTCATTGACTTGCCTGGGAAGGTCAGCCAATGACCTAGGAAAAGCTAGGTCATTATAGAATTGCCTCTGCCCATATCATTGTCTAACTCGTCAGCTCCAAACTTGTTCACCCCGCATCCAATCGGACACTTTTCATCAGACACACCGCCCTCAGTCCCCGATCAGACACTTTTGTCGAACGGTCCACAGCCGTCTCTCCGCGCTCATTCGCCGCGGACCGTGTCGGGCCGGCGGCACATGTGTCCCGCCGTCATTATGCGTCCGATCCGGCGCAGTTAGTGCGTCAATTACGGCGCTGATGCCCTCATTAGAGCCGCGGCGCGCCGCGCTCGTCTCGGCTGCGTCGCGATCGTCCTGTGTTGGAGCGGCTGGTGTCAATCGTGGCGAGTGTCATCTGTGGCCACATCTGGCCCCAGCGACGGCCACTTGATGGCTAAACGACGGTGAGGGGAGGGGGGAGGGGGCAGGTCGTAGTCTGTTTCAGGGGACGTTGGTCGAGTCATGTTGGAGTGGACGAGAGCTTGTTCTGGTGCGCATCACCGAAGTGAAGCGACTGACAATGCTTATTCTTATGCTTATATTATGCTTATTCAATGGTTGTCCATTGTCGAATGATTCGCTGCGGCGATCTTTTTTTATGCATTCTTGACAGTATCCGTGCCTGCTTTAACCCTCGCCGGACCTATTGGTTTTCTACATACGCGCCGGCCGAGGGGGGGGGGGGGGGCGGGTACGACCCCCCCTCGCCGTTTCGCCCCTGGTGGAGCTAGCGCGTCGCGGAAAAAACGAGCGTGTGCGCCGTTACGAGACGCAGAGATTGGTACCCGATTTTAAGGTCCTAGGTCAACCGGTGACCTCTGAGGTCAGGTCAAGTGCCCCAAGGTACGGTTCAGTTTTTGGTGAATAACTTCGCAAAAAATGGCCGCAGAGCCGCGATTTTGGCAGCATCGTGTTCGCCTCGCTCCGGCGCGTCGAATGATATACTTTTTGTTCGGGTCAGGTCAACTTGGGGTGTTGACCTCAGGTCAAGGTCAGGTCAGCACCCTAAGGTCACGAAGTTGGTCGAAAGGGGTCATGTCGCATATCATTCGATTTGGCAGGTCTTCCTGAGTCCATTGGTGGCTTTCCCGACTCGCTAGCTCAATTTGATCAAGAGTTATTGACGAAAAACTAATATGACCTTGATGACGTCATAAATGACGTCACGCAAGGTCAACATTGCAAAAGTGACGCATCTAACCTTGCAAGGAGTGCATCAAATCACGATTCTGTGTGCTTGAGATAGTTGGAGATCGTTCCCGGCGCCAGAATAGCAGTTTGAATTTTTCCCCATTGACTTATAATGGTGAGGTCACGAAAATGACCTGACCTCATATGACCTTTAGGAAAAATCCGAGATATACAAGTTGTGAGACTTATAATGGATACTAGATCCTGCAAGTTTCATTTCCCTGTGACATCTCCTCTGGCAGTGAGGGCGTTGCGAAGTTGCGACATCTGAAGACCGTGCAGAGGTTCACTTATGACGTCATAGGTCAGTGACCTGACCTGACCCAAAAATGCGGTTGGTGTCAAAAGATGCGGCTTGGATCAAAGGTCAGGTATGCCAAGTTTCAGCTCTCTATCGCCAGCGTGTTCGGAGCTATCGCGAAAAAACCCTATGGGGGGGGGGCGGCACCCGCCCCCCCTCGGCCGGCGAGGGTTAATCCCTGACATTGGGCAAACGTTGGATGCCGGTTACTCGTAGGTACGTATGGTGTTTGATCAGGAGTGGTCTCAAGCTGCAAGAATTCCAGTGGTCTACACATATTTTACCTAAAGGACCTGATGAAAAAAGCAACCAACGTAATAACGATATCATTATTTTTGAAATTCACATTTCTGGCTCGTGGCCAGTGGTTACCTATCGAAAAAGCAATGCCATTCTCCAGAAATTTTCATTACGTTTCACTAAGCACTACCCTGCCTGATGTTCTATCCTATCACATCACACTCCTACTGCCGCCAGGGGCACAGACTCATCGACAGGAGGCGAGAGAGGGGGGGGGGGGGTGATCAGCCGGCGATCAACCGGCCACCATTGGCCGCACCGGCGCGGCGGCCGCCGTTCGCGACACCTCGCAGCAGCCATTATTGTTTGCATGAGAGCGGCGGGCGCAATTTGGTCGTCCAGGGTGAGCGATGCCTGTGCCTGACGGAGCTGCTCCGTAAATAACGAGCCCGGCGCGCTATTGGCGCCGATGCCAGCTCGGCCGCCGATCGCGGAGACAGCGCGTCGACTGATGTTGCCAGATGTAGGTAGAGCGGGGAGGAGCGAGGAAAGAGGGCGGGAGAATGGATGGTTCAAGTGCTCGCTGATGGACGGAATGCTGAAAGAAAATTGAGTTGCTGCAAAAGTTGCAAGGGAATGCGACATGTAAAGCAATTCAAAATTGTGTTATGATGTTCCTCGTTAAACCTTTTCTTGTGTCCGGAAAGATGCATTTCCAATGTTGTGACAAGTGACATTTGACACCCTGAGCAAGACGCAAATGCACGATACGTCAAATGCATTCAAAGCACCGAATGCAAGACATTGTCGAAGTGTTTATCTTTTGTCACTTTCCGTGGCACTGGTTGGTGATTTTTAAGAGTGTAGCTCAGCGCCGCCCCCGTTGTCGGGCGGGGGCGGGGGCGGGGGCGGCAGTCGTCGCCGGCCGCGGCCGTCCACCACTCACGCCTGCCGCCGTATAAATCGTGTGTGGCCGGCGGCCAGCGGCTGACAGTAATGGCCCCAGTCAATACGGCGGCGGCGGCGGCGGCGGCGGCGGCGGCGGAGCCATGGACTGACGGCCGGCAGGTCACCGGAAACCGACCCCGACGGCTCCGGATGGAGCCGACCGCCGACCGCCGACCGACGGGAAACAGACCAGGGTGGATCCGACCGCCCAGACACAGACCCCGACCGCTCCGGATGGCCCGACCGCCGAGAAAGAGACCCTGGCAGATCTGACTGCTGACTGCTGACACTATAGACCATTTCGGGTCTGACTGCCGAGAGACAGATCCGACCGCTCCGAACCGGGAAACCGCCGATAAACAGAGACACAGACCACGGAAAAATGCTAAGATCTTTTAATAGATAAATGCTGCAGAGCTTTCACAGAGCACCTACCTGGTTCGGTTCAAAGCTTATTTTGTTTGATACAGACCCCCTCCCCCATCTCCCAGCCATCTCAGCTTCCAGAGTCTGCCTCTCACCAGCGCGGCAGTAACCGTTTCCGGTCGCCGGCGGCGGCCGGGGTGTGGGTGGGCGAGCCATTATTGGGGCGCGGGGTGGAGACGGGACACCTTTCGACCCCGAGCGGCCCGTTTGATACGCGCCCGCCGGCTGTGAGCACTGCAGACGGTGTTTATTTACCCCTCCGATGGCTCGTGACAATTTGCAACGGCAGTCGGGAGCCTCGGTAATTCGGCGGCGCTGTTTGTTTTCAATGCCTCGTTACTCGGTGCCGTCAGCTGATTGTTGATGACGTCACCGGTGTCATCGGGTGCCGTTGATTCTGAAAGACCATCCGGCTTCAAGGATGGATGCTGCCTGTGTTGACTAAATCATTTAGGAGCAGTGTATGCACAGCTATGCTCACAAATTCATAAATGATGTGTATGGCGCATCAACTACCGCATCAACTTTCAGGAGAACTGCTAAGATGAACCACTTTTTATTTAAAGAATGGCACACTTGCTTACCCTCTTGTAGCTAGCTCGCAGTCTTTGCCACCATACACCACTCGCGCGACTAGCCATAGCTCAACAAAACCTCTGGGCGACATTCGACCACTCACCGCTCCAGCGGGACTCATCTGTGACCGAGTCTGAGGGGACTCGGAGACGGTTTGCGTGTCAGAAGTGCGTCACGGAAATGTCAGGCAGACCAGTCCTCGCCGGGCGGCCGCAAATGACCGTCCCCGCCGTCCCAAATGGGTCACACCGACCCTCCGACAGCGGCCACCCTCTAATCTCAGCCGGCGGATATGGGTCAGAGCGCCGCCGCTCCCAGCGCCCGGCCCATATGGCAGCATCTGGCAGCCACGCGGCGACCTTGGCGGCCACGGCGCGCAGGAAACGCTAATGGATCAAATGGTTTACATTTCTCTGACTCACGCCGGCCGTCCATTCAGAGTTTCGGCTGCGGCCGGAGAAAAAAAGCGCTGCCCGCCCGCTGGGGCGGCGGTCGGCCCGTATTGTGCCCGGCCTGGCGGGGAGACGGGCCGGACGGCCGAATTAACGTGGCCAAAGGTGCGGCCAGCACGCGAGCCATTACCGCTCGGCGGGAAGGCGGCGCGTCGCCCTGCCGATGACGCCCGCCAGCCGCTGGGTGATGGATGGCGTGATGACGGGCGCGGCCGCGCGCTGCTGACGCACGCCGCCGCCGCCGCCGGTCAGCGTGGCGTGACGCGCTAACGTCCGGGCGTGTGGACCTTGCGAGTGGATAAGGCTGTCTGACCTGTCCAGGTTCAGGTGTCACATCAGGTCATCAGCGAATTTGCTTTATCCTCAGCTCCCGTCAGCTAATAGCCTTTAGCCCCCTGGGTACTAGGTACATGATAATATTTGACGAGCGTATTGATTTGTCTGCCTATTCAAAATGGTGATCGTTCATAATTTTGAGAAGTTTGACCACAATTGTCTCTGTTCCTCTCTCGACAGACCTGGGAGCCGGGTTCCCGTTTGGCGGCGGCGTACCGGAGGGCTGGCCCTACGCGCCCGGCGCCTACCCCTGCCTGCCAGGCTTCGGCCACCCGGCAGCCGCCGCGGCTCTGGGCTTCTCACCCAACGAGCTGAACTCACAAATCACGACCAGCTCAGCCAGCGAGCCTCCCACCGCTCACTCAAACTCAGGTGAGTTCACGATGGTGATGTTCTATTGAGCGAACCGTCCTACAGACGGCTGCAAGCTAGCCGGCACAGCCTACCTTCAGGCGTCTACCACTAGTGCCATCTAGCGACAGAAACATAAGCACTCTTGCTGTGGGCGCTCTACTAATACCTACCGGAATATGAAACACTTACGCAAATATTTTCAATAAACCCGATCAGCCCTCCTTTCTATCATTATGAAAGCACACTTCTACGCCAAGTGGGACGTCTTTTCCCCTCTCCACCAGAAACCACCGCTGTCCAGTGTCCACCGTCCACCACCACGCCGTCCACCGCTGTTCACGGACACGGGTCACCTCTGTGCCCTCAGTCCACGGGCGGCCCATCAATAACTCCGCCCACGGCCCGCCAACGTCTTCATTGTCGGCGGCCGCTGTCGCCATCGCTCGCCGTCCGTTTCCAATGCGGCGCTCAGGTGCGCCACTAACTGCCGCACGGCGCGCTCACATGCACCACAACTGCCGCCGGTGCCGCGGAATCAACAGACCTAGCCCCTGACGGGGCGCATTCCGTGGGCAACCAACAGCCCCACGGCACGATCGGCTCCTTGTGGGCTGATTAAACGCTAATGTCATCGGGTAACGGACCTTTTAGTGGGGGTGACCGGACAGGGGTTAGACGGCGATGGTAAGGCTGAAAGGGGAACGGGAACGGATCTGTATGCCCGTTGGGGCTGAGCAGGGTCTGGTAGGGCTGGACAGGCTGAAAGGGCCACTGGACGGCCACTGGCAGCGCGGGTTTGGACGCCGTTGTGACCAAACGGCGACATCACACGATATGTGGTCAATAGCTGGCTGCCGCCATCACCACACCACGATGACGGCGGCGACAGCGGACAGCCGGACAGCGTCCGCAGGTGGGGCGAAGGTCACGGGTCCCGCCGGGCGGGGGCGGGGGCGGCGGCGGGGGCGGCGGCGGCGTCATCGCTGCGGTGTCGCCGACCGCCGCCGATCGGCCGCTGCTAATGACGGCCGCCGCGATCGCCATCGATCCTGGACACAGCTCTAATTTCCGGCCAGGCCGGTGTTTTAGGGCGGCCGGCGCGGACATAGTGGCGGCGATTAGTGCCGACGTGTCCGCGAGTAGCGCTGCATTCCACAGTCGTTAACTGGCCCCGGCCCACGGAGCGGTTTAGGTGCAGTACTACAATAATACGGGCGGGGCGCTGTGGCCAGGTTGTGGGCGCGTTTTATTGTTGCCGCTTTGTTTCATTATTATTTGTTCCACGAAAGGCCTGATGACAGAGACAGCTTTTCAGTGCAAATGCGAAGGAGCTCATTAATTCATAAAGGCCGTTTTCACGACGGAATAGCAGGCATCTATTTAATCCCCATTTGATCCTTTGGTTCCTCAGGAATTTTAGTAGTTCTTTTTAGTAGGTTCCCCAGCTTTCGAATGAATGGTGCGTTAGTTTGCTATTTTTCTATTAAATATCACATCGATTTACTTTATCTAAGGATTTATCACTAATATCAACATAAAGCGTAAGCACAATTATAAAATTATGAAATTATTAAATACTAGTACAATAGTTAAAAAAAGATACTGAGTTGCCAGGCTACAAAGAATATATTCATTTATGGCGCACGACAGACATTTAGAAAGCAACGCCCTGTTTTATTGCACGCTGCTAGCCGCTTCCATTGGGTTTTGCAGGCCGACGTCATTGGTCGTTACACGTATGATGTCACGCGACTTGTGGCCTGTCACGGCTCTTTAATGATCTCCACTAAATGAATGCAACAATGGCCTTTTAAGTTGATCTCTGTGGCCATCTGTCTATGGAGCGACCAATATGAAAGTTGGGTGAATTTACCGGGGTTACATGACTATGAGCAAGCAAATGTGTATCAGGAATGGATTTAGGTGGAGAATTGCGCTGGACCATGAGTGCTCGAACGCTCCCAATTCCACGCCGGTTTGGCTTTGACAGACGATGCAGGTCAAGGTCACCGCTGGGGTAACGGTGGATTGGCTGCGCCCGAGCACCCGTAACGCGGCACAATTCTCCATCTATGGATTTTCCTATTCGCTCAGCATTGTGATAGGCGTTCGTAATAGCATTTACTCTGCTCATGTACCTATCCCCGGTTATTTAAAATAAGTTTTTGTGGGGGAATATCACGGCTTTAGGTACTCGGTGGCCCTATTCACGACTTTCAAAGAATGCTCCGATTACTAAACACCGCACAGACCTACTGCATTAGTGAATCTGACAGAAGGTCTGTGGAATTACATCCCCCCTCACCACACCCCTAAAAACTCATCCAGTGTCCAAAACCACTTTTATCGACTCGCCAAAAAAAAAAAAACACACACACACACACATACACACACAAAGCATGGGGCATGTCAGCTCTCAGTTCATTTATCATTGTCTTTAACATGGTTCAATTGCATTGTGCGATTTAAAGCACGTGAGTGCCTATATAGTATATATGTAGAAAATAATATCTACAGCAAAACATCCAAAATTACAAAGGCTACAATGCTTAAAAAGTAGGTTCATCAAGGAAGCCCATTTTTACTTGCGTTGTGTTCCCAACCATGCGATTCCAACGCGGGCTATTCGCAACGTCTGTTAAGGCACCGGTTAACAACTGACAAGCCGCCACCGCTGCCACTTATTCATAGATGGTTGATATCGCAGCTTGGGCGTCAGCAGCGCGGCCCACAACGCGTCGGCGCCAGCGCACGCAGCTGTTGGCACTCGGCAGCCGGTGTTGCGACTTAACGGCCGGCCGGCCCCATGAAGGAGAAGCTCTTGGTGAAGCTTTGTGATCGCCTCATAGCCGCCTTGGATGTCATCTTTCTTGGCAGATCCATCCGTTCAGATGGTACGGTGCAGTCTGGATAAAGGACGAAGTCCAACGCCGCTAACCCCGCGACCGCCACCCCACAACGTGGCCGCAGACCGAACGGGCGTGAGGGCCGTAAGGACCACCCCGCCATCCGGTAGGTGGCTGAGCAGCCGGGCGCAGCGGCGGCTGGGCGGCGGCCGCGCTGAGATGAAGTCCCAAACCGCCATGTCGCCATCACCGCCATCACCATTGCTGCAGCTGTTCCCAACCGCCTCAATCGCCGCCGTTTTGCCAGCAGTCGCGCCGCGGAATGGCAGAAGCTCCAGAGTAGCCTCCAGCGCCCCTCTCCGCACGTGTGCAGGTGCACTGCGGCCGCCGGGTCCGACGTCCAGGCAGAACATGATATTTCCATGCTGCTCCGACGGTGGGCTGGTCTTGTTTGGGCGTTCCTCCACTGTGACGTCGGTCACGCCTGCCCCGGCCAGGGCGCAGAGGCCGACGTGTCACCATCCGGTTGCAGTCCTCAGTCGGGTCGCAACGTGTACCTCTTCCGCAGCGTGGAGCGCGCTCCCGCTGGGCAGCGATACAGCCAAAAGTAGCATAGCATGCGGGCGGCCAGCGCTGCGCCGGACAGCGGACCCATGCCGGGGGTATGCCGGTCTCGGCCATTAGCGGGGTCGTCGGGGCCGAGGCTGTACATACAGCTGGTGACCGCGTGAGCCGCCAATCGAAGCTCACGGCTTATAAGCTCGACGCGGGCATCACACGCCGTCCCGATGGGAGCTCCACGACGCCGCCGCGAACTCCAGCGCGGCTCGCAGCGCGAAGACCAGTACGGACGGCCGGGGCAAACGGCGTGCGGGAGTCGCAGGCGACGTTCTGCGGACAGAAAGGGTTGGGCATAAGCTGGTCGGCAGGACGCTCTTGAGCTGAGCCTTTGATGTAATTACAGATGATCCAGAAGCATGCGCAAAAATTCATGACACACTATTCTCATTTATGTATTTGCTACATATGATATGATATACCAGCTCATGATCAGTGACGCATTCTGGGCAATATGTTCTAAAGTGAAGTAACTGAAGCTACAGCTTAAAAGCTTAAAGAAACAGCTTAAAAAAACACACACACACATTCGATAGCTTATGAGAATAACATGCCTTGTGTGCTTAATACAGGAAAATATTTTTTCACTTTTTTAGAAACAGCAAAAGACTTGTCAACAAGCCATGTCAACTATCTTAACAATTTTTATGGAAACTGCTCTAGCTAGCTTAAAGTTCCACAACGTTTCCGGAGCACCGTACCCAAACTCAGTTCATGTTATAAGAAAAAACAGTAATAATGCCTCCTAATTTTGAATGAAATATAGGTATGAGTAATTTGATTTGGAAAGCAACAAATTTCCGCACATCATTTTAGCAAAATTACTATTTTCTTCAGCCATCAGGTTACACAAAACTATAGTAAACTTTATGATCTAGTTTACACAAAACCAAAGCCCCGATTTTAACAAATGTAGATAAAATTTAAACAATTTTAAAAAATGTATCGTGGAGAAAATGAAAAGTGTAGATTTGTAAAGCCGGGATATTTCAATTTCACGGATTAGGCACTTAAAGAAATATCTTCACCTTTCTTTGAGCCACCAGCCTTCACCCAAGTTTTACACGAATGTAGTGAAGCAGACAATATGGCAACTCAAAATTGTGATGGTTTGAGATAATTATGACGGTAAAAGAAAAAGCAACACAAGGTTCCTTACCCTCGTTTTTTTTTTCACATCAGTGGGGGAAACTGTGGTCAAATCTTCTATTTTTGGAAGCCTTCCATTTTTGGAAGGACCTTCCATAAATGGGTATGCATTTTCCAAAAATGGAAGGCTTCCAAAATTGGAAGGTCTAATCTCAGTGTTCCCAACTGTGATTCACATTCTTTGATTTAAGTTACGGCCTTTTTAAATGTGTAACATTAATAGTTGATTTTGCCATTAATGATCATTGATATAAGGAGAAGCAGCAGTGCTAGTGTTGGTAATACAGGCATGCTATGTCAATGTACATAGTGATATAATAGCATGGTGTCCTGGCGCACTGCTCTCTTTTTCTACTTCTAGAGGACACATAGAAATTCAGAAGAGAAAACAGCTGGTCAATAACCAACCAGGAGGAACACAGCTATAGCCCTGACAAAAAATGGTTTAAATTAAACTTACTATTCCTCATATAAATTGAAGATTCATGCTCCTTCGATAGAAAGTAACACGAAAAACGGCGCAGCAACGCCTATTTAATTCGTCCCATATTCCGGAAAAAACATTGAAAAATGACGAGACCTCCACCCAAATGTTTGGCAAAAGCCTTAAAAAATTGAAATCAACCACACAATATGCTAATAAATGCAGAAAACGGCAACAAATACAAGTTTTACTCGCCACTACACTCCCGAAACCGCCGCACTCTGTCCAGACAATTCCGCACTGTAAATAAAGTCGGCGGTATCGAACAAGCATGGCCCGTCACTAAAGTACTTTTAAGGATATTTACTTTTCGTTTTTGATGCTTTTTGCTTACAAAATGTTTGATAAAGTCTTATAAAACCATCGTTTGTCGGTAAATTTTTGTCAATTTTTCACGACTCATTACTTTGAAAAATTACCTAAAATACATCCACGCTAGGATTTAGGCATCCACGCTAGATTATGGACACTTCACTATGGCGAATAGAAAGCGACCAGGGGCGATAGTCGCATTTGCCTCATGTTCGGCGGAAATCGGTAAGTTCCAACATATGCGCAACATTTTCTATATTTGGGTACGATGACGTCGTCAGCGTACCCATTTTTGGAAGGTGCGTACCCATATATAGAAAATCCTTCCAAAAATGGAAGGCTTTCTAAAAATGGAAGATTTGACCACAGTTTCCCCGACTGACATGGGTTCAGATGAGGCTTCAACTGTTGCCGACCTGAGGAGCTATAGGAACTTGAGCTTTCCAAAACTCAATTTCTAAGGGCACTGAGCAGTGTTTGGCTTTCACACGAATGCGATAGTAAGTTATATGAAGTTGACAAAGCAAGCAAAGCAAAGCATGATGCCCCGCGCGTCCGCCCGCGACCACGCCCCGCGTCCGACTCCCGACCGCCGCGTGACCCGAGGCGCCCGGCGGTCACGTGACCTACCGGCCGGGACTGCAAACGGCCATCACCACCATTCTTGTATGACGTCATATCCTACTGAGGTGCTGATTGGTCGGAATTAGATACCTGAAGGTAATTATCTGCCGTAGTTATTTTTGTTTCATTGTTTTGCGTGTTTTCTTATATGAAATGTGATTAAAAAATTTGTCATATTTTAATCACCATTAAAACATAACTGAATAGGTATAAAAGAGAACTCGATATATACTTTCCTTGTTTTTAAGAATTCCGGAATTAGATACCCGAGGGAGCAAAGAGGGAGCAAGTTGCCACGCTGATTTAATACCTCATAGTCGAAAGGTAGGCTACTAGAACCAAAAATTGCTGTGTTTGTAAATAAATAAGTGATTTGAGGGCAAAAAATGTCCGGATTTAAACTTCTAAAATTATTTTGAACATAAAATATTTCAGTTTGAGGGATGTTAAGGCCTCTAAGGGTAGGTACTTTTTAGGTATCAAATAAGTTCCTCTGCGAAAGTTCCGTCGTGAAAACGGCCAATATGCACAAAGGTAGGGGAAGCCGGGGGAAGCCCGGCATAGTAAGCTCTTTTTCATTTTTATTACATACCATACGTGCTGTATAAAATGTTGATATCCTGTTAGCCAGCTAAGTTCATTGGCTGTGTTTTCCCAAAAATTCGGTTTCGTGGAATAAGTATAAGGTTGAGAAAATCGAGTTTTAAAAAAGTGCTGATTTTTCTGGGGTAAGCCCGGCATAGGGGTAACGCCGGCCACCTCCCCAGCGCTTTACAACGAGTTGATGAAACCATTATGTGTCTTCCAAATATTAACGGAAAGTGAAATATTAAGGTACTGATTAGCTCTGGACATCTTAGAGTTTATGTCACTACTGGTATTTTAGCTAGCGTCTACCACATATACAGTACAGGTCGATGAAAATCGTGATGCAAAATTGACAAAAAATGTGTATTTCAAAGTTCCTAAAATTTATTTTTCTTTTTACCTTAATGCATCATATTGCATATCATTCGACTCGGCTGATGAAGAAGAACACAACGACACCATTTTTGAAGCTCTAGCTTCATTGTCTGTCGCGTTATCTGCAAAAATGTAGTTTGACCCTAGTTGACCTTAAGTGACATGACTGGCTTTGTCTATGATAACATGTTTATTTTCGAAATTTATCTTTGATCTAGGTGTAAACCAAACCTGCTCAGTACCTATTATCTCATGGAAAACAGTGGTTTAGTGGCATTGCTCTCGGTTGGGGGTAAGCTTGGCCACTCGCCCGGGGTTACCCCAATGTGCTAATTTTTATTTTAGGACAGCGATATTCGAAAAAAATGTCATACTTAAGCCAGCCTGCCTCGTCACCCCTCACTACAAACACTTAAACGGTCCTTACATAACATTCGTATAAATATAAGTACTGTATGGTATAACATTAACAGTGCAACATATCTCACTTTTTAGCTAAAAACCCTTAAAATATCATTTTTGCGCTATAACTTTAACAATATGCAATTTTTGTTAGCCTTAACTTGTTTGCTGGCGTTACCTTAGCTGCCACGCTGAAAGGACAAACAGTTGAGCATTTTATTGTGAATAATTTAGCCGGAAACGGGGTGGCCGGGCTTCCCCCGCGCCCGGGCTTCCCCCGGCTTCCCCTATGCCAAAGGTTGGGATTATTATTTTTTATTGAGCACCACGAAAACTCTTCAGTCTCCCTCCTGTCTAGATCCCATACCTACTTGACCGTGTGCTCAGTAGATACAACATACCAGGAAGTGCTCTATTTTTATCCATATTTACCCTATGGGCCGCTTCCGCCATCATGTATGAATTCAGCAGAACTCCAGACTGGGTTCATGTTTGACTTGCGCCCCACCTTGCACGGGTCATGTCGTTACCACCTAAGACAGGCCGCTCCGAAATGTCTCAGAGCGCGCCACTAAACGCCTGGGGCCTGGGGGTGCTCCAAAACGCCCGCTGCGCCCGCCTAACAGTGACCGCAGCGGCCGCGGGGCACTGCTGCGCCCGTGCTAACGCGTTCTGTACGGCACAGCGTAGTGTCACGCACGCGGGGTCGTAAAGCGCCCACAGCGGCCCCGGCAGGCGCTCTTTGTTCCCCGAATGCGGCTGTTTGGGCAGGCGTCTTCCGGCGGTGGTCGGTGCGGAAATATGCGATGCGGGGACATGGTGCAGTAGTGAGCGCCCAACTGCTGGCTTGGTAATGAGGGAAGTAGGTGGGTTGGTGGAGTGGGCTGGCACGGGTACTTTGGAGTGATGACTAGGGAGTGGTTGGGGGTGTAGCGTGGGTGGGACACTATGACACACCAATTCACCTGCAGTATGACACGAGTGCTCAGAGTGCACGTCATGCAGTGTGCCATAAAGGACACGTACAGTCGCCGCCGCATTTCTGGAACTCGTGCAGCTATCAGCAGCTGACGTGGCTCTCTACTCTTCTGTTCCAGTGATGACCAGCGACTCTTCTCCTCGGGCCGCCGACACCACTGAGCTGAAGCCGGAGTTCGACATCCGGCGCAACTCGCTGCTGCCGCGGGCGCCTGCCCCTCCCCCAGCGGCGCCCCCTCAGCGACCGCTGCTGCTGGGAGAGCCGGCGGTCAGCGCGGCCGTCGGCCTGTACCCGCCGGTACTGCAGCTGTACCAGCAGCTGTACCGGCCCGCCGTGCCGCCCGCCGTGCGCCACAAGGCGGCCGAACTGGCCCTGGAGGCCGCCGGCCGGCCGCTGCCGCCGCCGCCGCCCAGAGCCTCAGCCAGCCTGGCGGCGGCGGAGGAGCGGACAGCGCCCGAGTCGCCGGGCAGGGTGCCGCCGGCGCACCACGCCGCCCCCGCCCCCGCCCCCGCCCCAGCTGCACACACCTCCCCAGCGGGCGGCTCTACATCGTCCCAGTCAGCGTCTCCCGCCCCCGCCCCCGCCCCCGCCTCCGCTACCTCCTCAGCGGCGACCTCCAAAGCGTCCAGCCGCGCCGCAGTGTGGCGACCTTATTAATCGAGCCGTCCGAAATCTCGCGTCTCACTGTTCCGCCCTGCGCCGCTTCCGAGTGTAGTTCCTACCTTCGACCCCGCTCCTACCCTCCTGTTGTTCCGACATGTGGATAATGCTGGGTTCACAGCACCAAGCCAGATTCCTATCAGCTGTTCGTACCCCTCATGTGATGCACGGTATTTGAAAGGTTCGCGGAGCATCGCTTTTCTGCGGTGGTGATGCGATTTAACCTAAGCCGGCACTTTTTACAACTCTGGTACTCCACGTTTGAAGATGTTTGTTAGATATAGAGCGCAAAGTTTTGCTTTTTCCTTGTCACCATGCCACCTCCTCAGCAGTCCTGAGTCAACTCATGTTCCTACCAGCATGAAAGCCATTATTTTCACTACCTGCCGAAGGCTATTGATGTGGCGAACCAAGCGACTACTTGGACTAAACCTCGCAGGTTCCAGTGAAGTAGGAGAGAGATTGCCTGTGCACCCACAGTCAACATTATCCTCTGCTATTGTGAGCGAATGGCAGCTTCGATATAACCGGTATTGTTTCAACCTGACTATCCTTTCGAGGAACAGTTTCAATTTTTAATCGCTGCGGATGTGTTACCTCCAAATCGCTGTTGTGACCGCTGAAAGGTGAAAAATCGAGCTTACGAAGGCGATTCAAAGTGCATGACGGTAGGATTGATTTGCTGTATGAAGTTATATCCGCTCTCAAGCTAGGCTCTGACGTCATTGTAACGTCATGTCGACGACAATGTGCGGTGATGATGGCTGAGCCTGCGGCGTGAATGCCGCAGCTGCGCCACATATTGTCGCGGCGCTCCAGCATCCGATTGCCGCTGCGCCGCGCCCCATACCGGACGGCTATGATAGCACGGTCTCAGGAAACTAAGCTAATCAGCGAGCTCGTCATTATCGACAGAACGCGGGCAGACCCGTCTGGCTGCACTGAAATGCCAGGCCGCCAGATACCCTCATACTGGGGCTTGATACCCAACTAGCTGAAGAGGAATCTATTATTACTATTTAATTTCTTTTGAGAGTGATATGCCAGGGACAATTTCGTTGATATGTTGGGGTGACTGTTCACTCTTCTTTTAGGGAAGGGGTCAGGTTCTTATGCGAAATACTCACTGTATTGTGTGTGGTTCCGCAAACCAGTCATATTTACGGCATGTTTTTGGTGCTGACAGTCAGATGAAGACACTATTGTTACGTGGGAGCTGTGTGCGTGTCTGGAATAGGCGACACTGTAAGACGTTTGTATAGGTGTGTATGTGTGTCGGTGTGTGTGTGTGCGGGCTCCAGCAGGTGTGAACTCGGCACCGGCGGACACATGTTGTATTGATTGTTTGAATGGGAATATTTTACTGTCGTCGCCACCCCTCGCTGGATTTATCACGGTCAGTGCGCGCGGCCTGCTTTGTCCTCGGCTGGCCCGCGGCACGATGGCCGCAGCGCTACAAATGTGGCGCACGGCGGCCTGACTCGGCGCTGGCCACCAGTCGAACCCGTATTGAGTGTACAAATATACATCGCGTTCGAATGGCATTCTTTGCGAGGGGCAGAACCGGTCAACTGGCGGCTATCGACTGCAGCACGGGGTGACGTGTGACGCGGGCGGCGGCGCGCCACATGTGTCAGCCGCGCGCCACATTTGTGACGAATTGACCGCCGGTCGACGGGCGGCCGCCGGTGTGAATCGATCGGCGATGCATAAAGGGTCGGCCGGTGCGGCCTTAAATGGGCCGGCGGGCGATCGTTGGCTGCTGGTGGCCGCTGACAATGGGGCTGGCCACCGCGCCACGGCTCGCCACGGCCCGCCGACATGCACATTACACAGCACATCCCGCGCATTGACGTGCAATGCTTCGGCCGCCAGAAACACGATAATGCCCGCCCGGCCAAATTGAAGTGCCGCCGCCGGACGACCCAGCTGGTCACTGGGAAGACTTTTGCTCGTAATGTAATTTGGTTCTCTGAAAAACGGTGAGCGCAGTGGCGACAGGACTGGTCGTATCGAGTGAATGCCAGAGGTGCACAGCTATTTCCTGGGGAACAACGGCTGACTTGTAACGATAAAATGGTGAGCCTTCACTTAGCGGCAACACTTAAGCACTGAGCATCCTGAGCAGTGTTTGCAAGCGGGACATTTATTTGCGGAAGCACAGTCATTGCAATGAACCACTAAAAGGCTGACCAGGGCTAATATTGCACACTTGTTTGCATGGAAAGCTGGTCACAATCGTACATAGCGAGACCACCAAATAAGCTAACACAGATTATCGCTGTGAATTGTGGAATCATTTTGTGCATATTTGCTCAGCCTCTAGATAACCATATAACACAGGCTGAATTTTACCTCGCATGAAGTCTTAGCAGCCTTGCAATACAGGCTTGTCACGAAAATGTCGTCAACACGCAGCTTACTTTTGAGCTGTCGTAGCCAGATACAGACTCAGTCAGCTACGTCCACGGTTTCTGGTTCAACTTTGCGTTTGTCTTGTTACCTGATCTCCCGATCAACGCTCTGGACCTGATTTGTATCCACATTGCAGCGCATATTTCAAATCGTCTCGCTTTTTTAAAGGAATTTCCTTCCATTCAGTTCCCTGCTGCCCTTTGGTGGCCTAACCCGAGCCGTGAACAGTAACCAATCAACTAAACTGACTCGAATCGGACGTCATCTGGATGCGCGGACAATCAGCTGTTGCCCTCCCCCTGATTCTGAGTCATCAGAAATCGCGCTGGTGTTCGGAGTCAGCAGGAAGGCGTGTTCGTCTTCAGCCGCTAGGTGATAGTTGGGTAGTGCGAGACCTGCTGAACGAGCCTGATTGGCTGAGCCACACCCACCGAATTATCGTCAACAGGCGGTCAGAACACAGCCAAAAACGCGCCGAACGAGGCGACAGAAATGCGGTACTATTGATATGTGTTGAATTCAGTTCTGACTTCAGCAGGTCTGACCTGACTTTATGGACTATTTTAAACTCAAGTGTTGGGTAAATTCGATAACACCAACTTGGACAACATTGTATTGTGAACATCGTGATCTGTGGCCAGTTTTGCCAACAGAAAAATGGCCGTCTGTCGGAATTTTTTGTCTACTGACCGCTTCACATACGGAACGTAAACGGCAAAGCCCTATCTGCTTACGTGCCCATCGCGTTTACGCTCCGTATGTGAAGTGGTTTAAGGCAAAAAAAAAAAAAAAATCCAGCAGGCGGCTAGTTTTCTGTTGGTAAAACTGGCCTCTGGTTTGTGCTCAATTTACGATAAGTGTCATGTTTTTACTTACCCTATCGTTAGCAAAAACTTTTCCACCTTATACCTACCACCTAATGCACTTTGATTTAAAACGGCGTTCAAGATTCCTGTGGTGCTCCGAAATCCAGCAACAACAGTAGTTCAAGTTGCAAGCTGCAATATCACCAGCAGCGATGGTAGAATCTCCCCACATACTCTATGCAGCAGCCCTTGACACAACCATAACGTCCATCCAGTCCAGTTCGAGCACACAGCTCCACCTGCCCTTCCGCTGCAACCAAACAGCGCTACACCGCCACAAGTCTCGATTAAAGTTAATTAATCTGCCGTAAATAACGGCATTACACGGCCGTAACCAGCTATGACCAATGCGCCCATTTTTATATGACCGTTCTGACCATTCATTTTCTATTGTGGCTGTTCACAACATTCAATTAATCCGTGATGTAATTAGCCGCCGTTGCTCTCAATTACACATTACCCTTGTCGGATCTGGCGCGTGCCGTGTTCCGCCACCCCCACCTTCGCCAGCTGCCGCTCCGGTAGCCTCTACCGAGTCTCCACCGAGTCCGGCACCCGTGCAGAGGCTACGTGTCGTTCCAGTGACCAGCACACCCACCCCTCTGTCCCAGGCCGCACCGCATCACTCAAACATATTAGCGGGTCGCATTTTTAGGCTTGTTTCGACGGCGCGCGTTGCATGCGGCTCATCCATTCTCGCTGGCTGCCGGCCCCCTCCCATTTTTACGAGTCACACGGCTCCCGTAATGGTTATTGTATTAGGAGCAGCACTGCCAGCTGCCGCGGCCCGTGGCGTGCACCTCACCCGTTCTGCGATTTGATTTTCATTATTTTACCTGGACTCTGGCGCTGAGCCGAAATGCCTTCTGCGGGATGAGCTTCTGAGCGAGGGCGTGGTACTGGTGACGTTTCAAAACCGTCATTATGCGAGTGGTTGTTGCTTATTGGAATCTGCCCATAATCACCATAAAATGTAGTGAATCGTATAAATAAACGGAGTTTTCCATCTTCATTGAAGAACATGTGTGCATCCACTTGATACTCTTCCATTGCAGCAATACACAGTTCGGACTTCGGAGTGTTTGAAAGTGTGAACGTTTATCTAGAGGCTGCAATAATGAGCATCTTGAATTGTCTGAGCTTTTTATATTTTATATCAACAATTTATATCCGATCCATGTTCCCAATGAATTAATGGAAAATGAAGATTTAAGAAAGTGTAATGCCTATCATTTTCTGTAACAAAATCGCTGCCATGCCAGCTGACAACGTCGAGGCTCTGTATCGACGGTATGGTTTTCGTTCTGCAGCTGGCCGCCCGTACCAGAGGCGAGTGGTCTGGCCGGGGCGGCACGGTCCCCCCGGTGACGACCCGTGTTTATCACCGCGCCCTGAGACGCGAGCTGAGCTGTCCTCCGCTGATGAGGCCAGTGCCCTCTGTTCGCGGCGGCGACACATGTGTGCGCCATTTCCGCCTCGGCCGGCCGCCATCGCGCCGCATTCGTCACTGCGTCAGGAGGGGCGATTTCGGCGCGCTGGCGACGAACAAGTGTCGAGCAGCCGCGCGGTGCCGACACAGCGAGGACAAACAAACAGGAGACGGGCGACGACGGGAGCCGCGGGCGCTGCCGCGACCGACGCGGTTCGACGTGCCGACAACGCCACCGACAGCGACACCAATAACACCGACACCAGGAATATTGACACAGCTCTCACCGCCGACACTGACACAGCGTCTGTCAGCGACACCACTTCAGCACCACCGACACCACCTACATCGGCACCACTAAAGGCGATGTAGCCAAAGCATCCCCCACCATCATCAGCTCGGCACTCATCACCAGTGGCACCAACATCTCATCGATCACCAGCACTAAACCGATATCATCTCCAGACCAACAAAATAACGGCGGGGTGCCAGCGTCAGTGCACTTACCCAAAGCTGACTGCACGGGATTCCGATTGTCCCTCCCGTATCCGAGACCGAAGCAAATGCTGACAATCCACAGTGACAACAGAGTCCGAGCAACATGGCGTCTCTCGCCTCATGTTCCCCATGACTGGCGCTCTCCCGGGCTGCTCACTGCAGTCTCTCTCCCATCGGTAAAATGAAACAACGGGCTCCAGCCAGATGGGGTCAGCGGGAGGCATTAGCCGAGCGGGCTAATCATTGGATTCAATCAGACTGAGATAGTTGTGTGGAGTGTGCTCACACGAGTGCGAATACATTCTAATGAAGGTGGAGGATGAACTTGAAGTGTTTTGTTTCAGCGAAACCCGTGCAGTCTGCAGCTATCTACATTCTACTTACACGTCTCGCAGTTTTTCAGTGTAGTTAGACATTGGATACTGGATAGTCTAAGGGTATGTATGCATATGTGCTGTCTTGCAGATTATCCTTGCAGAAACATAATGATGAATGACAGCATTTGCCATTCTATCGAAAGAAGCGCACTTCCGTCGTTATTGACAGCTCACTCTGGTAGTTTTAATTACCCTTCCCATTGCGGAAGTTGGGAGTTCCGCAGTAACCCGAAACATCATTCGTTTCGCACGCCGGTAGTCTCGAAGCGTTTATTAGCCCGGTGTGAGCGTCGCCGACATTATGAGCCTAAACGATCCGCCATAAAACAACGGTAATGTGTCGCTCTACCATCCGGATGGCAGTGATGGCGTCATGTCACCGGTGTGACGTCACTGATGACGTCATCACTTGCGGCAGCCGTCTCCGCTGATAGGAACGCCTGGCGCCGTAACGTAAGAACAGTACCTCTGACGCGAGGTTGAACCAAGCACACCTCGTTTTGCGATATTTAGTCTCCTTTGTGTAGCCCATATCCAAGACACGACTGGCAATCTGTTTGGTGGCGAACAATTTGTAGGAATTTGGTGCCCGGGGACTGCGTTCCGGAATTAAATTATGGCGGTTGTAATAAAATCAGGGAGACTGCGAGACGTAGCTGACAAATGGCAGCTCGGGCTCCGCTAAGAATCTGTGCAGTTTACGGCCAGCTTGAGTTAAACTGGAAAATTAAACCTATCTATCTTCACTAGAAGTGGAAAAGTTTGATTTATGCTTCCCGCGGCGAAGTGTTCAGATATGTACGGCCTGTGTCCGACGAGCTCTGGCCGGCCATAAATTCATATTGTTTACTTTTCGGAAGCACACAGCAGCAGCGGGTGCCAGTCGGATTTTCGGTGCGGCGCTTTCCGGTTGAACAGAGCCTCATACGGATGATCTGAGAACTTGTGTAGCTG